CTGAGGGGATTTCACTGACCTTATCAGACCCAAAAGCTACAACTCTTGTTGCATAGGTCCTGCTTTACCTTGTTCTTAACCACCCAGCAGAAAAGTATAAAAAATGGAATATAAGAAATAAAGCCATGGTGTTAGGTTGAGCTGTAGGGGACTCAGGTCAACAATTTCTGACATTGCCAGTCAAGCAGAAGACCCAATACTATTATGGACTACTGAACTCTTTTAGATTACCTTGCTGAGTTAACACACCTATAATATTCAAATAACAGAACTTAACAAAAAAAGGGTATAAAGATGAATGTCCATTTTGTATCTGTGTACTCAAAGTGGTTAGGATAGATATATAGTTACATTCTCTTAATGAATAGAGTGATTTGTTTTAATGGTGTTTGTAGATAGGATATCATGTCCGCATCTTGTACAGCAATTAACCACTGGGAGGAATGTATGCAATGTGTTAATCATTGAAACTGTCCTACCAATCTGATTTGAAACTGTCTCATTGCTGTTTGTTTATCAATAAAATTATGGAAAAAAAAAAGTCCAGGGTCAGTCTGGACTTCCAGTTCAGTGCAACCATTATTTGGTCCCTGATAGAAACATTGGCTCCCAAATCTGTGCTTCCACCTAGTTACATTCCTACAACTTCAAGTCATAGGAAACAAAATTGTGTATGAGTTGTTAGACATGATGATGAGAGGAATCACTCTTACTTCCACTCATTATTTCACTGACTTTCTATTCTGCATCTAGGAAAACACCATCATCGGTTGGTCATTGATTCACATCATGTACTGCACATTGTAAAGCAGAGACCAATTTTTTGGAATGTGTTTTGCATATGAAAGCTGAGTTTTCAACCGACCCTTTCCTGTGCCATCAGACCAGCAGCTGCTCCTGGGTCATGGGTGTGGGAAAGATCACTGATTGCCCTGTGCCTGACCCTGTTGGTTTACTACTATCAAATGAGTTGCTTGATCAGAAGCATTGTTGTGCGGAATATCACAAAGGTGGAGAGAAGACTTTGTGGCTTCGTGGATGGCACTCCTGGAAAAAGCTTTGTAGGCAGGGAAGGCAATTCCATATCCTATAGATACGCTGTACAAAAGAGGGGGGAAATGCTGTTATCTTCATTGGCTCAACTGGCCCTCAAGTGTCTGGTTGTTCTCCGGGGAAGGTGCTATACTGAGGGCTCAGCACTGGTCTCTCTGATTGTCAGTTTGGGCTCTCAGGAGAGGACAGAGCCAGTGTCCTTTTGTAAGTCAGTGTCCCATTGGCAAAATCACACATAGACTTCCTGCTTGCCACCATAGTGATTTGGTATGTCGTGCGTGCTACAGAGCAAATTCTGGCTGTGGGAGGATGCAAACGCACACCCGCAAAATGTATTACCTTGCCCATGTGATTGCGGAAAACCTCTTCTATAGTGACCACAGTTGAGATTTCAGGTGGCTCACTCACATCAGCACCCTGTGCCCACTTCGCGAGTCTGTCCAAATGCCTCTTCCCCAGGCTCCTGCTGTCTCCATCTTCCAATCTTTTTCTTTCAAAGTTCCTTACTGTCCATTTCGGCCATTAATTCACAACCCAGGAGCTAGCGTAGATTCCCACTTCTGGTCATCTCTCAGTTCAGTTGAGCAGACAACCAAAGACGCTGCTTGGACTTCTGCCCATGGTTGCTTTCCTTACCTCCGACTTTTAGAGACACTCAAGATTGGAGTGGTGATATAGCAGTACACCTTCAGGGAGTACTCACAAATCATGCAGAATCACCTGTAAACTAGCCTGGATTTGTTTTATTTTCAGTCAACCTCTTAAAGAACTCACCATGGGCTGGCCAAATAGCTCAGCGGATTAAAGCACTTGCAAGCAAGTGCAGGGGCTGGGGGTTTGATTCCTGGGTTTGCCATGCTGGCCTCGCCCCTGGGGCATGCTGAGATGGCAGTTGAGACTGGGCTTGGTGGTGCATGTCTGTAATCCCAGCTCTTGGGAGGCTGTAAACAGGTGGATCACTACGAGTCCAACCTAGTAGTGAGACCCTGAACACCCTGTAGACCCTTCTGTAACACCCACCCACCCACCCACACACACACAACACACAGACACACCCACCCACCCACACACACACAGACACACACACACACAGACACACACACACACACACACACACACACACACACACACGAACTCACCATGAATCCATAGGTGTAGTTCTATATTTCAGAAGTAAGGACAGAAGGAAGTTTTGTTTTCTGTATTGAACCAGGAGGTCCATAGTATTGCTACACCTCTATTTCTTAATTTGCTAACTTTGGATTTATATTGACTTCTGTTGTAAAAGATGAGGACTTGAAGACTTAGCTTATTTCTCCCATCTATAGCCTCTTATTTTTGGTAGTTATCTTTATTTATTGTGCTGGTTTCCTTTGCCAGATTTTTATTTATTT